TGATGGACCAGCCTAATGCTGTGGGCCAGCAGTTCCTAATGACCTGCCATTCCCCTGCCGTCCAGGGTGCCCTTCCAATGAGATTTATGGCCCATGTTGTGGTTACCACAGGGATGTCGTTCAGTTCCTCTCCTTCCAGTCTGAAAACCGAAAACAAGTGATGGCCTATTTCTTTTCTTCTGTTGTTAACTGTCGAGCCGTGTTCATTTTGTCGACTTGTACATTTCCTCACAGACTCATTCAACGACTTCCTTTTTCTGATACGAAACTAAACAATGCCCCATTGAAATTGTATGAATAAAATTCAGTAAAATTTATAAAAATGAACATTTGAACATTTCTGCATTTTACTTGAATGGATCTCATTGAAATTGTGTCGACTAAAGTATTTTTGATATTTCGACTAGAACCTGAATATTGAGGAGTTCTACTGACAAAAATAAGTCTCAATTTAGTGAAAACACTAAGAGTAAATAAAAATTGGCTGCCAATTTTGCTGCTTTCAAGGCCCACAGCTTTTCTACTCTAAGAAATATTCATATTCAGGGCAAAGATTACTAAAGCTCGGTGATGAGAGCCGACAATTTACTAAACTCGAGGATCCATGAAGTGATTCGTCCTTGAAGGAGGGGAAAAAACATTCCAGAAATTCTGAAAAGGTCACACACACTAGAAGACATTAGCAGGAGGATGGTTAAGTCAAAAAGCCATTAGACACAGAGTCACAGAGGTGAGTGCACAGGCGGCTCGTCAGAAGGAACAGATCATTTTCCCCCCTAACGTTGGCTCCCTCACTGTTTCCCCACAGACAGAAATGTGTTGATCCACAGCAGATAGTCAGAGTGAGCTGAGGCACAAATAGCAAGGAAAGCTAGTTTATAATTAATACGCCTTATAAAATATGCATTACGTTGGATAATTGAAGCACATTTCAAGTGTGTCACACCGCACAGGATCACGACCTTTGGTACAGAGAGTCTTGTGCTGTCGCTGTAGGTTTTGCTGCCATTTCTGCAGCTTTTTCTTATTTGTATTCCAATCTTGATTGGAGGTAAACTTAGACAATGAGGATTTTAGTTTTTCTTAATGTTAAGGTTTTTGGTCTTCAATACTGTAATGTAAACATCACCCAAATAGTAAGTGTAGGCAGCTGTGCTTCAAGATAAAGGGACATGTCATGAGGTTGTGATCATTAGAGGCCAGGACGTAGGCAGAGGGAAAATGAAAAGCTATAAAGTTGTGTTTTGAACCCTCCATGCTGCCATATTTGTCAAACCCACTGCAGGGATGAGAAAGCAGAGGGACGCTCTCCATCTCCCAGTGGGCCAGTGTCTTCCCAGTGAAGACACCATGGCACATGTGGATAGGAAGTATCTGATATCTAAACCTCCGCTCTGCGTTTTTCACAATCACACTTTTCCGCCACACACACATGCACGGTAGAGTTGTCAGACTGATTAACAAACACATCTCCAATCTCTGATTAGGTGTGGAGTAAATGAAGCGCCCCCCTCAGGTATACATTTCCATAATGTTAGGTAATTAAACCCCAGTGTTTTAATAGCTCAGGAATAGAAAGGCTCCCCAGGAGACTTGACAATGATGATAGACTTTACTGGAAGATGGAATACTATTAACTGGCTCAAGACTGACACAGAAACTATCACTGCTTTTCTTTTTAATTGATGATAGATTAATGACAAGAGGGTTAAGAACTAAGAAACATTGACTGGTCTTGAGGTTTGTCACGACTACATTTAATGTTGTATATAATGTGTATAACTTAAGTTGATGCAACATCTGACCCCCATATTATTATGATGGATAGTAGATGGATGCATTAGGAAATATATTTGGTGCTCTAATAAATACAGTGTACAGACACACACACATGCAGTATATATACATATATAATGTACATATTAGAGACATGCCTCTGGATTTGTAGAGCGGTAATGTTGTGTTAACCTAAGCTAAAATAGCGTCATCATAGACATAGATTACACGGGCTTATCCGGCCTGCCTGCAGTACAGATCTGTCTGCTATTGGAAATATCTCGCACATCAGGGAAAAAGACAGTTACAACTGTTGAGCTGGGCATATACTTATTTTTTTTCACCAATGTTTTACAACAGTAATGCATATTTTTTTGAGATCTTCACCAATGTTTTACAACAGTAATGCAACCATTCCTAACCTGTTTACAAAATCGGCTCTAGAAATAATGTCATAAAGTGGAGTTGTTTTTGTGCTCTTGGTAGCTGAGCATGGGTGTCTTTTTCATCAGTGAAAAACCTGGATGGCTGCTGTTGTAAACATGTCAGTTCATTGTCGACATACTCATGAGTTGCTGTTTTTTGTGTATGTTGTTCTCATACTGTACTCACTCACAATAGCCCTTTGATTTGATGAAACATTCTGCAGCGGGGAAGCTTTCCTTTGTCTTGGTGTTCACTCATGTGTGATGTTCCAAAGAGCACAATGAAAAGCCGTAAAGCTTTGTTTGTACTGAGGCACTGTGGCGTGGGCCTCCACGGATGGCGCACGCCCTGCGAGTGGCCGCAGAGGTGTTCATGGTCGGCACGCGGCACACGTCAATATCCTCCAAACTGCCCAGCAGCGTGCAAAGAAACTAATCTGGAAAAGCAGGAAGTCGATAGGAATGGTCTGCTTCAGATGTATGTAATGGTTTCCATTAGAGCGGCCACTAATGGGCTGATACAGTGTCACATGAGGATAAATGTTTTTGTTCTTCTCAGTGCTCCTTTAGTTAGGAAGAACATGAACTTGTGTTTCCCTATTGAATTTGTCACACCTCACAATTCTAATAGGATGGATTAAAGTCAAATGGAAAAATAAATAAAAAATAAGAGGAGAAATTCGTCCAATGCATGTGTTTTCAAGCTGAATTTATTTCAAAACCAATGCAGCACAAACAAGAACTAATATTTTATGATAGTAATACAATTATTTTAAGTATAATAATATAATTACTATTCTCATTTATTTGTTTCTATTGTTGTTAGTAGTGTAATATTTGAATAACAATAGTACTACATGAAGTATGTATTATTATTATCAGTACACTAACTAACACGATTTATTATTATGCTTACTATTCATAATTAATTCTATTGTTCAAACTAGTAGTAGTTGTAGTAGTAGTATTAGGTATAGTAGTAGTAGTAGTAGAAGTAATGTTAGCAGTAGTAACAGTAGTGGTCGCAGTAAGGTTACGGTTGAACTTTACTGATCCCGCTCTGGGGAAATGATTATGTATTACATAGTATCGTAGCTCCTAAAGACATCACTGTCATTTCAGTCTCGACATGTTTACTATAAACTTGACTTTCAGAGAAAGTCATTTTCTTTACTTTAAATGATGTGGCCAATATTTTCACTGCTCCTGAAATCATTAAAGACACATTTCAGAGTGTGACTCCTCCAATGGCCTCTGTGTGAACTACACTTCAAACACATAAACTGCCTACTTACAGCATCACCTAAATTACCAGATGTTCTTTAAATCCCCTCTAGTCCTTCC